TTATTAGTGAAAAGCTTCTTCGTATCAGGGTGATGTAATAAATATGCATACACATGGGTGCTCCCTCACAGTAATATGATTGGCTGGTGTCAACCATAAATACAGACTAAATTGGAGGTACAAGGACGCCTGTTGCCTACCACTACGACGAGGACCAGTCCATTACGGTTACCTGCTAGATTGTCCTACCCGGTTACAGTAGTGAACAACCATTTTGCTACTTCGAACAAATATATCCCTTTCCGGGACATATCACAGGGTAACTTGGCAATTAAAATAAATTATTTTAGTTTGCATCGTATTTTTCTAAATTTACTGAGTCATTTGCGTTTAATTCATCCATTGTTTTTGTCGGTAGTTGCTGAACACAGTAATAAAATCAAACAAAATAATAAGACCTTCATCCTGTGAGTTCCACTCTGCACATTCCTTCGCCTTGTGCGTTTAAAAATTGATCGCAATAACCATCAACGTGTTGTTGCTATGGGGCGGTTTATAGCGAGCACTGCAACTATTCACTTTCTCCTCTTTTTCCTACAACAGATTTACAACATTCAACAGGAGTCACACACGCAAATACACCCTTGTGCAAATTAATTGAAACAAAAAGAATAATTCCGTTATTATTTACTTTTTTCCAATGAAACATGACCCATTGCACATGTTATTACTTCGTATTTCCATTCCACGAAGTCGTTCCTTGTAGATTGACCACAGATTATCGATTGGATTTAAATCAGGAGAATTTCCGCGCCAATCTATATAATTCTTTGATTTGCTCACTGGTAAGGCTTTTTGTGCAGCGTCACAATTTTCGCACGATTCCTTGGTGTAGCGCCAATCGCTAACAATGGCCATAGGACAACTAATCGACAGTCGAGACAATAGTGCCTGGGCGTGATAAAAATCTGATGTAATCACGGATGACGCAATATTTTTCAAGGCCAAACAAATTTCATCATCCACCCCGAAAATAGATTCATATTACTGCACACCACTGCAAATGATCTAATCTAAGGAAAAAATAGAAATCGTTTAGATCCTGTCACTCCAGTGAGTTTAAAACTGACCGTATGGCGAAAGAAAGGAAACTAATGCGGTTGTTTCAATTAATTTGCACAAGGGTGTATATATCGAATATATAAAACGAACATTTAATACGTGGTGTCCGCCTTTGAAAATTACATACATTTGAATTTGGCTGACACTGTGTGCGTCTGTGCAAATATTACGTAAAACTGAGACGTCAGTGTTTATAATAACAGCATGTGTCTTATATCGTGCCCATCTTTGTGTAACGGAGATGAGGAACAGAAGTCTATTCCTTGTTAAGGTTTCCGGTTCCTTCTAAAGTCTACTTCAAATATATACCTCTAACACCTCCGCACAAACTTTATTTACTATTTATTTTTTTTATTATTTACATTATTCGGACTATTGACCTCATCTTTGTCGCCATATTTATCACAACGTTTCGGCCGTTGTATGCTCCGGCCTTCTTCAGGTGGTTGGAATGTCGAACTGAATCCTTTATTTCGCTCACTGAGGTAGACTATTCTAGGTCCACGTGCCATTTTTGATGGATGTCAGTTATCAGTTATCTCCTGTTAATTTCCCTCTGAAAGTTCTCCACTGCCTTAACCGGGTATTGAACTCACACTCTTTGGGTCCTGTCACTGGATCTAACTAACGACTTTATCGACTTTGCCATGTGTCCTTCTTTTTTGTTTTTTCTTCGAGTAGAAAGTAGAAAGGTTCGTTTATCGTCCGGTTCACACTCCTCCCCAGTTATTGGAACAGAAGTAGAGATTTTTCTCTTGTTTCCTGTTTAGGATTGGATTTCCGGTTCCTGCTTATTCTCTTTCACTCGCAGTAGCCCCATGCTTCATAATTGATTTAAAAAAAAAAAAAACAACTAATCTACTTAAAAATTATTGAATTAGATTTTTTTTTAACATATAATTCTTTCTATTATTCATTTTCAAGGGAAATACATTTTGCATAACGGATATCGACTTGCAAAGTGGAATCAGCGAGACGAGATCAAATTCCTGTCTAGTTTGATACGTTTACATTTGTACAAATGCCTTTCGTAAGATCAATAATCGATCTCTTCGCCTCTAAACATGGTTGAATGGAATTGTCAGAAATAGCTAACAAACTTAAATGAAAAAGCTTCCAATAAACAATACGAAAAGAAAAAGAGAACAGGGCAAATCTAATGCTAAGTAGACAATATATATATATATATATATATATATATATATATATATATACACACACACACACACACGAACACACATATATATATATATATATATATATATATACACATATATATATATATAATAAAAAATAGGAGACAATATATATATATATATAAATATAAGGCAATATATATAAATAAATAAAAATATCTACATAAAAAGAAAAATATATATAGAAAAAAAAAACAATTTATATATATATAAAAATAAAACTTTTATAAAAATTAAAAATATATAACAATATCCACATATATGCAAAAGTATATATATATATATATATATATATATATATATATATATATGTGTGTGTGTATTTATAATAAAATAAAAATATATATATAAAATATATATATATATATATATATATAAGAATTTCAGCAGTTGTAAATTGCTTCGATATGAAACTCGGAGATATTATATATATTTTCAGTATATATATATATATATATATATATATATATATTAAATAGCTCTGTTACTTAACTGTTTTTTCCTTTCACCATAGAGTATTTATATGTATTTGTACCCGATCGCTTGCTCGTATACCTACCTATATTTACCCATTCGGTTATATATATATATATATATATATATATATATATATATATATACGAAACAAAAAGACGATATTTACAAAACGTAAATTTTAAATGAGGAGGGAAATTTTTGGAACCTGACTAAAAAAAATGTATTAGTAAAATAATTCTAAAATAATAATAATACAATGAATATTCCAGGTGAATATAAAAAAACAAAAAATGTTAGTCACACCCACCAACTAACCGTAATGAGATAATAAATTGCTCTTTTTGTTTACACAGGTTTGGTTAGTGTATCTTAATATAGACCGCTTTGAGAATCTTTAAATGATGTGCGGATTTCGCTCTGTCTAAAATAGTGAAATAATCATCCTTATATTTATGAGCACAGTCGGGGTTGCCAAACAGTGCTGACTGCTGAATCATGCACAGCCTGGGTCAATCTGGAAGAAAGACTGAAATTACCTGCCGTTATATTAGCAGGAACGTATTGGCCAATACAGGTCTCGAGTCTCTGATTGGTTCGTCCTACATATTCAGCATCACACTGACATTTAAATTTATGCACTACAGTACTATTTTCTAAATAGAACAGACCATCCTTGACCACAGAATGAGTTTTAATAACAACACACAATTTTACAGTTATAAATACACACTGATCCGTCTGTCAGCGAGTATTTGACTATTTCTATCAAACCATGGGAGTTTTAAACATAGGAGACACAAAGAGAGACCAAAAACTACCTGTTCCTTAAAACGTTCAATTCATCAACAACCCCAGCAACACCAGCGGCACCAGCATCTAAACCAGCAACACCGGGAAAAGCAGTGTTTCGAAAAGGGCCGGCTACGCCCCCAGCGGTTCCAATGAATGTACTAATGCAATAAGGAGTTGAAAGGAGTCGGCTGCCCCTCCTCACCAACAGAATGTCCCACGAAAAAGACTGTATCTTCAACAGAAGAGCTAAAGCAGCAAACGAAGGAGCTGCCAAATGAACGGTCGAAGAATCTGCGGCTGAAGTCACATACAAAAGAGGACTAGCGGCAAATTCAGCATCAACAGCGGAAGCAGCCAGAGCTGTAGCAGCAGCAGCAGCTTGAACGACAATCCCAGTAAGAATTATAGCAGCAGCTGCTGCAGTCTAATCAGCAGCAGCCAATAGAGTTACCGCAGCTTGAATACTTCCACCTCAATCCTCCTTGCTGAAAAGGGGACAGAAGTAAGAAGAAGACGTAAAAGTCACCAAAAAGGGTATGGGAGTAAGAAGAAGAAGAAAACATAAAAGTCATCAAAAAGGGGACAAGAAGAACAAGACGTAAAAGTTACCAAAATGGAGAATAAACCTGGACGATGTAGGGTGTAAAAAGCCCTGGTAGATGCCAAGACCCAATCCGCCCCTGCTTCGCCAACAAGAACCCACAAGTGCCAGCTGCCAGGTAAGGCAACGACCCTTCCCTTCATCCCCCTCTGTCTTCTTCTCCGAATCCATCACAAGAAAAAAAAAAGGCATTTCCCTAAAAGGGAAATGATTTGCTCTGGGCAGGGAGTCCCTCGAGGGGGACGTTTCCTCTTGAGCCAGTGTACCTCCTAGGATGGGTTGTCAACAGAGGACCCAAGCAATTTCACAAACGCCCCCGGTGTGGTCACCCTAATGAGAAGTACAAGTGGAAACCTAAAATCTGGGATCACTTGGCGGGGGCCAAGGATGCATAACCAAAACTCCGGATGGCACAGATTGAGTAAATGGCCACGGTGTATGCAGTGAGGATGCTTGAGTATCCGTTACCTCTCTTTAATTCAACTCTCCAAGTCTTTGTTCACTGTAGCCAGGTATTGAACTCACAACTCTTTGGGTCAAGGCACTGGATTCAAACAACGCTCTTCCGTCCTGGGTATGACGATAAACTACATCCGCGTCCTGGGTATGACGATAAACTACGTCCAACAGCAAAGCCTCTGATCATGAGGTTTTGAGGAGCATGGAATCACCTCTTAATTGCCAGTGTTCCCTGGTCCACCCTGACCCAGTGTAGCAGCACCTGCTAGGTTCCCAGCTATGAGCAAATATCTAACCCCTAAACTGGGGTCAAAATGCTATGAATGTGTAAAAATAGGTTTAATGCATTAAATAACCCATTGAAATTGATATGCCGTAAAACAAAACAAACCAATAGCTAGCTAGCTAGCTAGCTAGATAGATAGATAGATAGAGAGAGAGAGAGAGAGAGAGAGAGTGAGAAATAGACTGGGATAGATAGATAGATAGATTTTACCAGCAATAATAAATCTTGTCGCATTAAATAACACGTAAAACAAAACAAATCAAACAACGCTTTTATCCACTGCGCCATGTGTCTTTGGAGAATTGAGTTAAAGGGATATAAGAGACATCCGAAAGAGGCATGGCACGTGGAACTAGAGTAATCTACCTCGGTGGACGAAATAAAGGGTTCGATTCGAAATTCCAATCACCTGAAGAAGGCCAGGGCGTTCAACGGTCGAAACGTCGTGAATATGACAACGGAGATGAGGACAACAGTTCGAACAATATAAATGGTGTAAATAATAAACTTTTAAGAATATAATTTATTAATTAGGATCTTATGTTGTGACCAAGTCCAAGGGACACTTGTTCAAGGGTTGGGGTTTAGGGTTAGGGTTAGGGTTGGGGATAGGGTTGGGGGTCAGGGTTAGAGTTAGGGTTGGGGTAAAGTTTAGGGTTAGGGTTAGAATTTATTAACTAAGATCTTATGTCGTGACCAAGTCCACGTGACACTTGTTCAAGGGTTAGGGCTAGGGTTGGGGTTAGAGATGGGGTTAAGGTTGGGGTTAGGGTTAGGGTTTGAGTCAGGGTAAAGGTTAGGGTTAGAGCTAGAATTTATTAATTCGGATCTTATGTTGTGACCAAGTCCACGTGACACTTGTTCAAGGGTTATGGTTAAGGTTGTGGTTATGGTTAGGGTTAGGGTTTAGTTTGGGGTAAAGGTTTAGGATTAGGTTTAGGCTGAGGGTTAAGGTTTGTGTTAGGGTTAGTGTTAAGGTTGGGTAAGGTTTAGTGTTAGGGTTAGGGTCTTTCCCTGTAGCTTTTGCGTAAAGCCTTTGTTGTTTCTTTGTTTTTCTGCATGCTTCCAACTTGCTGTCACTACACTCACAATAGCTTCCATATTACGGCTAGGGTTAGGATTAGTGTTAGGTTTGTGGTAAGGTTTAGGTTTAGGATTTGGATTGTGTTTAGGTTTAAGGTTAGGTTCGTTCTGTTTATTTTTAGGTTTAGGGTTAGTGTTGGGATTAGCTTTAGGCTTAGGGTCCTTCTGTGTAGGATTAGGTTTTAGTGTTAGGGTTACGTTTAGGGATTAGAATTTAGATTTGGTTTACGTCTGTGGTAAGTTTACATTTAGGGTTCAGTTTGTGGTTAGGTTTAGGATTAGAGTCCTTCTGTGTTGTTTTAGGCTTAGGGTTAGGGTTCAGTTTGTGATTAGGTTTAGGATTAGAGTCCGTCAGTGTTGTTTTTGCGTAAAATCTTTGTTTGATTTCTTTCAGGGTGCTTCCATCTTGCTGTCACTACACTCACAATAGCTTCGATATTTAACTTTAAATAACTTAAAATTAAACATCTGGTTTTTAATTTTAAGCAGTTAAAAAGTGTTTTTCAGTGGTGCCATTTTTTTTTTTTTTTTTTTTTTTTTCATTTGTGCCATTATTACCTGAGCCATGATTGCCGTTCACCGGTGAAATCCAGTAAGGCCAAGTATAGAGAAGTATCTCATCGAGACGCTTCTTTCCCTTTGAATGGAGCATCACAAGCCAGACAGAGTTACGGAACTGTTGTGTAGGAATCTACCACCCCTCTTGAAGATGAACTCGTCTACAAACAAGGACGTTAACTAGTGGCATGTCAAAAGACAGTGTAGAAGAAGTTCTGAGCTGAGTTAGTTATAGACTACTCAGGTGATATCTGTACCAACTTACCAACCGAATAAACCCCATTTTATTGTTACATGTTATTTGGCGTTTGTCTTTATTAACCCCAAATTAACATCATAACAGGAACAAACGTGACGAGAAGAGGAAAAATATGTAGTCGGAAGATGTGTGTAACTTAGATAGGTGAACGTTCTCGGTAACAGTTTGGTTGTTGAGCAAGAGTGAAATCAGCACGATACGTAAAAGTAGTTCCATAACACAAAAGAAATAAAGCAAAAGCACCTGAATATAATTAATTCACGAATATTCGTCGGGTCGGGGGTGGGGGTATTCGTCTCGTGCAAAATAAACAAATGAAATAATCCAGAATTAAAAGAAAAAATATATAATAGAAATCAATAAAATCACAATGCCGCCTGGTGACAGATAACAGAACTAAAAGAGACGCTCGCGATAGAAATAGCAACAATTGTGTTGCAGTTTTGTTTTTAATCATTTACTGGAGCGATCTCTTTATTTCTTTCTTCTCTGTTGGTCGGTAAAAATGAGCCAATCGTTGCAAAGACATGTCTTCGGGAAAAACACGATATTTATTCATTTATATTAAGTTCTTTTCGCGGGGCTTCTGGATGAAGAAAAGGAAAGATGTTATCTTTGCTTAAAAAGGTAAAGAAAAAAATATGTATATCCAGAAAAATAATGGAATGAATTTATATTTAAAATCTTAACAACTTTTCAAAGTTTATATTTTATTTCATCCCTTATTTCAATATCACATTGAAATTATATTCCTATATCATTCCATCTTTTTCTCGCTATATATCAATCTGCTTGTTTTTCTTTAGGGTTAGATTTGGCTTAGGGTTAATAATAATTAGGGTTAGAATTAGGGTTTAGGGTAAGCGGTTAGATTTAGATTCAGGGTTATGGGTTAAGGTTGGATTTGTGTTTAGGGTTGGGTTTAAGTTTAAGGGTTTATGATTAGGTTTAGGGTTGGGGTTTGGGATTCAGCTAGGGTGAAGATGTCTTTCACTCTCTCTGTCTGTCTATCTCACTAGCTAATTATCTAGATAGACTGAACAAGGTTATGTTTTCCCAGAGCCACACCAGACCCATATATATATATATATATATATATATATATATATATATATATATATATATATATATGTATGTATGTATGTATATGTATTTGCATTTATTTTATTTAAAAAAAAACAGTGCTCGATACAAGATGTTGTGGCCTTGTTAGGGCCAGAATAAAGACACAAGATAGGAATTGTGTTAAATATATTAACAGAAACAGTAATACAAACACATACAAACGAGAGCAAGAATGTTCGTCTGAGTGGAAACCTCCCCCTCCAAAAGGCAGTACCTGCTCCTATTTATAGCTGGGAGAGTCCATGCGTGCGTGGGTAAAATACCATAACACAACAGTAGAGCATAATGTTATAATAGTTTTTTAAAAAATATATTATCATCGCAACCATGAATCTCTTCAATGAGTCTACTGGAATCTTTTCCAATCAATCCGAGGGCTCCAACTACAACAGGAATTTTTGATGTTCTCATGTGCCACATTTTGGAGATTTCGATTTCAAGGTTCTTGCATTTTGATAGCTTTTTGAAGATCTTTGTTATTATTATTATTGTTATTATTGTTGTTGTTGTAGGATACCTACGAATCATAATGGGTATGGCCCCATTCATATAAATAAAGTAGTAAATACTGTATGTTGGTCTGCTGTTAGAAATTCATTGTGAATTTCACTTGACTCACTTTTAACAGTTGACTACTTCATCTACGCGCTGCTGGCGAATCTTATACGTGTTGTTCTTGTCCTAAGTATTATCGTTCAATACCAACATGCGTTTGATTATTCTATTCAGTAACCTTCCCTAGGTTACAACAATTATGTTCCTTTATGTTTAGTCCAATCCCTTGTTGGGTACTTATCAAAGACCTAAGCTAAGGCAAGGAAGTAGATATATGTTTTCTGTCAGCGCAAATACTTACGTTACATGTACATTGTTAACATCTTAATCATAATGCTCTCCTGATCAGATGAACAGTTACAAAAAGTGCATTTAAAAATATTTTATAAACAGTGAATACCAATGTGAATTGGGTCGTGATTACGATCCTATTTAATAAATTATAACCATGGAATATTAGTGTTTGAGCCTTTTATGTCCAAGCTCAGAGTCCAAAGAAAAAACCTCCAAACCGAGTAAAGCAAAAGCAACTATGTAAAGTGCTCAATACACTAAATAGAGCAAATCTAACTATGAACCTAAAGAGCCAGTGAAACCTAGATAGGTTTCACCTACTCGGATATATATATGCTTAGCATTCCTATCTTTTGCCATTTTTTTATGTCATGAAAAACTACAGAGGAAGATGTCAAACTCCATTGATTACGTTCCAACATCTCACAAGCAATATATATATTTTTGTATTTAGGCATCAATCCTTCTTTCATGCACATTTCGTTGACAGACGAGGTGCTTTTATTTAGTTTTTTTTATACAATTTCTGATGCGATCTAATATTTTTTTTTCTTTTCGGGTGATAAATTATTTAAAAACTGTCCGAATGTTCGGGGTGATTTTTATCTGTCGAGTTCTTTTTTCGGCTATACATTTAGCCATTTTCAAGGATTATATTTTAACTGTTAAAATAAGAAATAGTTTGTTGTATGCATGTTTCATAAAATGTTTTCATTTTTCAAAACACGGTCAAGATATTATGTCCATGTTCAAAGTTAAAGTGTTTTATTTGTTTTTATTAATAAGGGTTCCATTATTTTTTGCCTTTTTTGCATGTAGTTGATGCTATTATATTAGTGTTGTCAACAAGTCTGTTACGAATAGTGTCCGGTAGGTCTCCATGAATATTTAAATTAGATCTAATTTGGGTCTTTCTGAATAAAAAACATGACAGAAAAACTAACTTGATTGGAATTTGCTATGAAATTCTGACTGTTGTACAATTCATTTGAAAGTTTTTTCTTTTCTTCATTTTCCATTATAAATGCAGGCAATAGAATCTTTGTACATGAGCTTCCTATTACCTCCTCATTAGCCCAGATGGGGAGCAGTTGATGTTAAAGCGGAATTATCTCCTTTAGAGAGTTTATCAAGAGCTTCAGCTTCCATCTTTTTCCTTAAAGAACTTATGTCGAGGAATTCAAACTTTGTTTCTGGTGGGTTTGTTACACACACTCACGCATGCCTGTCCACACATATTGTGTAACAAACTGGTTTGAATTCGGAGCTTTTCTTCTCCTAGACCGTGTTCAGCTCTTTATCCATAGTTGAGGGGAAAAGAAATAGATTCATACCTAAGTAAGTGAATGT